ACATTGAAAGGTCCCACGCTGACATCTATCGTTTTGATATAAGAACTACCATGAGATAACCTCACAATTAGATTTACCTACCGTATCTTTAAAAATGTGTTCCAAATCAAAACGTATTGATTGTTTGGTGGTTGTGAGGGGCGTGATTGATTTAAAATAGTATACACAGATGTCGCCGATATGTGCGTGAAAATTGCGGTGTACAGGGCGATTCTTTGTTATCGAAGCCAATATGTGACCGAAGTGTTATTGTAAAACTTTTCGCGCTACGTGCCAGTAAAAGAATTTCAATTACAGCTCGCGCTTACTTTACAATTTTGACCACGCGAAACTTTTGCGTCCCCTCATTAAACCCTTCGTAAAACTAAGTGCGGAAGTTGTCGCTTTTTAAATTGAACTTTATGGGCATACGCCATTTAACCGCGCGCGCGTGTTTTAAACTCACTACAAACTTTCGGAAAGACACATCAGTCTTATTTGTGTAAAATCGCTGAAACTTCGAAACCCATTAGGAGCTTGCGAGAGGGAGAACTTGTCAAAAATATTGATAAATATTATTGATGGCGTTAGGTTAAACTTTGAGTGTTTAATCTTGTTATCGGTCATGTTTTCAATTTTCGAAAGGAACTTCGCATCGATCGACGTTGTTTAAAGCGCTAAAACGTGTATGAGAGTCTGGTTTTATTGCACTCCAACCACTAATGGCTATCCACCAGCTTTAACGGAAATTGCAATTCTATGCAGCGCATTTAAAGTGTTTGTATCATTACCTTCCCGTACAGATTAGTGCTATCGTGATAGGCATCTACTTATTTTCCGTAGAGATTGGTAACGTCTAGATTCCTCTATATTTTTACTCAGTAGGAGTTGGTAAGGGAGAGAAAATGTCAACAATGATAAATATTATTGATGAATTGGGTTAAAACGGGCACGAAAATTTGGTTTTATTGCGATTAGCACTTCAAAGTATGAAACTCCTTCCCGTAATCTTCAACCTATTATCCTGACTCTCTTTTTTAAACTTTTTCAGATCTTCGTGAAACCTACACTCTTTACAAGACCCCTCTAAAACCTTCCGGAGGTTTCCCGAAGCCTGCTTTTCTGATGCCCCCACACAATGTTGATGTTAATAAAATTCCTCTTCTGCCGTGACTCCCATTTTCACCACTATATTCGTCTGGAATTCTTCCAACCTTCTTCTCTTACCTGCCTTTAGATCAAGTCATCTCCTACCAATTTCGCTAGCATTCTTCTTTATTCTCATCACCTTGTCTTGCTCTTTCTTTTCTGTCTTCTTCCAATCTTGTTCTTTCTTATTTTCTCTTCATCCCCGTCTCTTTATGTTTTCCCATCTGCTTCTCGTCATCCTCTACTCTATTCTATTGTTCCAGTCTTCTCGTTTTGTTTCGACTTCCTTCTACCTTTTACTATCTTCAGCATCTTCGGAATTTCGACCTCAACAATTTTTAAAAGCATCAGGAAAGGGATGTTGCTCTAGGTTTACTTCCCGTCCCCGCCCCCGTTTCATCTCGTCTTCCTTTCACATTCACTCAATCTTGTTTTGCATTCCTTACGCCTTCCCTCATTTTCCTCTTGCATTTTTTAAAATCTTATTATGGTATTCTCCTTGCATATTTCTCTACTTGTCGCCGTGTTCTTGTTATCTTTAGGTCTTTTTTATTGTTTCCTCTTCATTTTGATCCTCATTTTCAACTGTGCATATTTGCATTTTTCTCTTCCAGTTTTTTCAGTCTCTCCTCGTTTTCATGTCGGTTTCTTATCTTGTGCTCGACTTTTTTCAGATTTTCTTGTCGCATATTCCTCGCTTTCCTTCCACTTTTCTTCTTAGAGTCTTCTTCTCATTTTCGTACAGTTTTGATCCCGTCCTTTCTCCTCCCCCCAACGTCTTTTTCTCGCTTCCTCTTCCTATGTTCTTGTCTTCCTATAAAGTTCTCCTCATCTTCATCTCGGTCGTCCTCGGCTTCCGGTATTTTGTTTTCGCGCATCTGCTTCTCTTTATCGTGTTCTTTGCCATCTTCTTTTAGTTTTCTTGAATTCTGTTTTTCTCGCCTAGTCTACTAGTTTTTTTCTTTCTCTCTTTTTGTCTCATATCTTTATCGTCTTCTTGTTATGTTTCCGGTTTTTTTCCTATTTTCGTTATCTTCAGGGTCATCATCTTTCCCACTCTTCGTTTCCTTTACCTCGTCCTTTGGTATTCTTTTCGCGTACTTCCCGTCTATTGTCGGATTTATTCTCATCCTTTTCCCTTACGGTCTCCTTAGCGTCACCTTGCCTTTTTCTTCTCATCCACTCATCGTGATTTCCCGGTGTTCTTTCGATCACCTTTACTGCTCCAGTTGTGTTCTTTTCCTTCCTTATCTATCCTCTTCAAGATCTACAAAATCTAAAGGACCTTCAAAATTATGTCTTATGACAGTTACAGGGGCATTTGTTCTCTTTATCCTGGTGGGGAAAACGTTCAGCCCTAAGGGCGCATTTCTCGATTCTTTCCAAAAATCATGGTGTTAGTGATCAAGGGGGGTTTGTTCTCCTTTCCTAGGAGGTATTCTATACCCCTCATACCTCCCGAAGAATCTTTCAAAAAATCATAGTGTATTGGATACCAAACCAGGGGGCCTGGGGGTGTGGAAGTTACAGAGAAATTAGTTTTTTTCTCCTGGAACTCCCCAAGGACCATTTTCTCGACTGAAGAATTCCCCCCCCCCCCTCCCCCGTTGATACGTTCTGGACTCTTTCCAAAAATCATGGTGTTAAGGATGAAGAATACCAAACCTGGGTCCGGGGGGTATGGAGTACTCTTACGACAGTTGCAAGGAATTTTGTTCTTTTTCCCGGGGGGTATTTCTAACCCCCCAGACCCCCCGTGGTACGTTCTGCCTCAAAACTTTCAGCCCTAAGGACTCCAAAAATCCGGGTGAAGAATGAAGAATAGGATACGTACTTTATAACCCCCCCCCCCAAACTTTCAGCAGTTTGCAGTTTTCTTATCGCCTTCTTCACATCTTCGGATCGACTTCCGTGTTTTCAGGTTTCTTGTCTTATATATTTAATTTTCCTACCTTTTCTTATTCTCACCGTCTTCTTCTACTTTTTCTTTTGTTTCTTTAGGGATTTCTTCTCGTCTCCTTTCGCCATTTTGTAGTTATTTTACTACCCTCACACCTTTTTTTGGTCTTTTTTTCTCCTTCGTTTTATTTCTTTATTCTCTTTTCCTTCGTTTTTTTAAAATTCCACACCGCACCCATTCCTTCTTACAGTCTTGTTCCTACCCTACCTTCACCTTCTCCTTTAGGGATATTCCATATTCTTCCCGCCTTCTTCACTGTGATCCTCGCTTTCCTATTATTTTGTTTTCGCTCCTTTGCTTCTCTTTATCGTCTTTTTTGTCACGTTCTTCTTGTTACCTTACAATTTCTTTTGACTTTTCTTGATTTCTGTTTTTAGCCCTCACTCAGTTTGTTTTTTTCTCGTCTTTATCGTGCGTTGTTCTTGTCATGTCATTCCATATCTTGTCTTATGTTCCTTTCGTCTTCTTCTCGTCATCTTTTCGTCTTCTTGTCTTCTTCCCGTTATGTTTCCAGTTTTCGTTTTTTTAATTTCACTTTCTGCCTGTTCTTCTCTCTGTGCGTTTCCTTTACCTCTTCTTTTCTCGTACACTTCCCGTCTTGTGTCGACTGTGTTCTCATCCTCTCATCTCTTACTTCCTCCTTACGGTCCTCTTCTCCATGTCTTGTTATATACTTTTTGTCACCTCTCTTTTTCTTCTCATCTTTCCTCACGATTTTCCTGGGTTTATTCAATAATCTCTATTGTTCCATTTGCGTTAATTTCTTTTTACTTTCTTCTTTTGCCCCATTTCCTCCCCCACCTTCCTCTCTTCTTCGAGATCATCAAAATCTGAAAGATCTTCAAAATCTTGGAAATGAATAGAATACGCCCCAGAGGTCTTATGACAGTTGCAGAGGAATTTGTTCTCTGTTCTGGGGGGTATGCCATGTGTCAGAGACCCCCCCCCCCCAGTTATACGTTCTGCCTCAAAGCGTTCAGCCCTAAGTGGTCTTTCCTCAACTGCTTCAAAAAATCATGGTGTTACAGAAGAATTCCATACTGGGGGGCTTGTGGTATGACAGTTGCAGAGAAATGTATCCTCTTCTCCTTGGGAGGTATTCCATAGCCCCCCAGACCCCCCGGGTATACGTTCTCAGTTCTAAGGACTTTCCATCGACTCTTTTCAACCAAGAATCATGGTGCTAAGGAGAAACAATACCAAAGCGGGGGGTCGGGGAGGGGGGGGGGAGGAGGGAGATTGAATACACTTATGACAGTTCCAGAGAAACCAATTCTCTTATTCCTGGGTGGTACTCCATACGTTTCAGACCCCCCCCCCCTCCCGTGATACGTTCGGTCTCAAAACCTTTAGCCCTGAGGACCCTTCCCAAAAATCATGGCACTCAGGGTCAAGAATAATAACAAACCCTGGGATCTAGGGGGTATGGAAAACTTCCTAGTATACGAAGGTCTTATGATAGTTGCAGGGAAGTTTGTTCTCTCTCTCTCTCTTGAAGGGTATTAGAAACCCCCCAGAATCCACGGTGGTACGTTCCGCCTCAAAAGTTTCAGACCTAAGGACTCTTCCCTCGACTCCTTCCAAAAATTATGGCGTTGAAGGAAGGAGAATACCAAATCGGGGTGTCTGGGAGGTAAGGAATACCCCCCCCCCTCCTCCCGTATACAAAGGTCTTATGACAGTTGCAGATGAATTTGTTCTCTCTTTCCTAGGGGGTCTTCTATACCCCCCAGGTTCCCTCGTCTCCATCAAAAAATTATGGTTTTAAGGGTTAGCAATACCATTGCATCCCCCCCCCCCTCTCTCGTATATTAAGGTCTTATGACAATTGCAGGAAAATTTGTTCTCTTTTTTCTGAAAGGTAATTTCATACCTCTCAGCCCCCCCCCCCCCCCCCACCCGAGTTGTGCGTTATGGTTCAAAACTTTTCCCCCTGTAGACTCTTTCCTCGACTCCTCAAAAAACCATGGTGTTAGGGATACTGGAGGCTAAGGTGTACTATCAGGTTTGGTCATAAACGCCATGATTTTTAGAAAGAAGAAAGAATCTTCTAGAAGTCATCTCATATTTTCTCGTCTTCTTTGCGTTTTCTTTTCGTCTCCCACCTTCTTTCCATCTACTCGTCTTCCTCATTTCATCTACGGGCCTTGTGCCTATCGTTTTCCCTTACCACAATTATTAATTTCTTTTCTTCTTGTATTCCCACTCTTGTTTCTTCGTCGTCTGCTTTTCGTTTTCTTTCAGTCTTCTTTTTGTTTAACGTGCCCTTTTTATCCTTTCTTCTCGTATTGCTAACTCATATTTTTTGGTCTTCCCTTCTCTCGCCCACTTTCTTCCCATCTAGTTCTTCTGTTCTCCTCGTCTTCTTCCGATCGTTTTATCATTCTCTTCTGGTCTTCTTCTTGTGTTCTTGCGACTTTGTTCCCAATTTCACATTTCACCGATCGCCATCAAAATTCCAAAAGACTTCAGAAGTTCTAAGCAATCACTCTTTCCTCTTTTTAGCCTCTTCTGTCCCACCGTTCCGCTTTGCAACCCCTTTCTTTCTATTTTTACAGATTTAAAAAACCCTTAAAACCTTCCGCTTACAGTTTTCCTCTTAATTTCCGCCCCTTTTCATGTCTTCTATTGGGTTCATTTTCATGTCTTCTATTGGGTTCATTTTCATCCCCTCATTTTTTTCTCATATCCTCGTCTTATTTTTGTCATTCTTACCCATTTCCTTTCTTTAAACCTTAGTTTCTTCTTCTTGTTCTCGTCTGAACACGTCTTTTTTCGTTCTGATATTTCTGTACTTTTCTTCGTGCACGAAACAAACAGAAACAGGTATGTGGAGTTGGGGACGTTGAAATTTGGGGGAGGGGTGCTAGATCCGACATCATACACCATTTACATCTACGGATTTGGTTTGGCGAGCTCATAAAACGTGTTCGTCAAATGTTACCGTAGAGATTAGTACCATCGTGGTAGGTCTCCAATTCTTTTCCGTAGAGATTAGTAAAGTCTAAATATTCAAAACTTGGATTACGGATTCGTTTGCAGTTGCGGTATGAGAAAAACCCTAAATCCGTCGAGTGTGTCACTTCATTCGTTAAGCACTGCAGATACAATTCAAACTATTCGATTTAATTTAGCGTCCCCGGCTTGTCCACAAGTTTACGTAATTCAATAGTAATTAAAACTCGATAAGTTTGCAAGGTCATGCAAATTGGGTTTGGGAGTTCTCCTACTTTTCATTGTAAGCCGTAAGACGTACTTTTAAGTGGTTGCTCGTAGAGAAATTTAATGAATAAAACATTAGTCAACTCCTTTGTGCCTTTTTTTTAAATAACTTACCTCGTGAAAACCCCCCGGTCTCCATCTTTGATTTGTGTCGGCGGCCGGACTAATCCCACGCGTGTAAATTTCCACGTTGCAAGTAAATTAGGGGGGGATAAAAATTAATTTCGTAGGAAAACCCGAAGACGGTAACTTTTATCGGCCATGATGGATGCCTAAATTTCGCCGGTTCTCTCTGCGCAATAATTTGTCCCCCAATTGGAGCCCTTGGGACGTATAACAAATCCGCGCTATAAATACTCATTTGAGATTTCCTTAACATCGTTCGTTTACAATTTTCACTCGTTAAACGCTGGTTTTTCTCTCTTTCGCCTGATATTAGGTGTTTTTTTTAATTCCGACCTCGTTTGTAAATGACAGTTGTGAAACGTTCGTAAATAAACCAGAAGTTATGATGATTACTGCATATAAACCGCTTTACGGGTGGAGGTTAACTGTCAATTATCTTTGTCAGTTGCCGGATTCATGGCACGATGTAACGGATTATTAAATATGCTGTAGGCATTACGAAAATGATCATGATGGCTTTTAAATTCGCACTTGTTTACTTCTTTCTTGAAGTTTCTTGATTTTCTCCCCTCGAATTTTTGAATTTTTAGAAAATGAAAATTTTTCAATTTTTTTTCTGTTTTAATTATCGGTACTAGCAGTCATCTACCATTATGAATTCATGCAACGTACAGAACAATTTATTTGAGTTATTTAGTCTTGACGTAGCAATTCCATCAGTAGACTGCCCTTCTGATATTATCGGCAACATATCTGGAAAACTGCAACAATAAACGCAAATTACGATACGGTAAGTGCCATTAACGTCCACCTTAAGCTTAAACTACGGTCCATATGCTCCTTTAGGACAACGCGATAGCATTGAAGCTCACTTTCGCGTAAAACGGCCGTTTCGTAAGCGCGCCTTTATTGCCCACTCCAAATTTTGATTTACCGCGACGCGTTTAGAAAACACCGCATTCACATTTATCGTGTAAAATAAGACAATAACTCATGCTAAGTAAAATTTTATGTTCCCTTCTCCCTGTCCTCTCGCTTGTACGCTCCCGTTCGTAAAACCTCAACGTGTCGGGAATAGACCATAATAAAACCGGGGATCCGGGCCAAATTACGCGTGACAGATTTCGAGCATTACTGATAAGGGCGAAATTTAAAACGGGCGCGGGTTTCGATCCACCTGTTCGTGACCGTTTAATGAGGCGTGCGAAAAGAATCGCCCTGTATACGATTTTGTAAGTGATCTCTGCGCGTTGGATTAAAATTGTGGGCGATTTACAAAATTAGTGGCTACCGTCTACGTCTAAGTGGATTAAATGTTCACACAACCAGTACGAGGTTTTGGAAGAACGTCTGCAGTTTTCGTACGGGCGAAGATGCTGCAGGGCAGTTTTCTTGCTTTCATATCTGCAACAGAAAAAAACAATTAGCCAAATCGCAAAGTATTTTGACGTTACTAACTTGTACGGATGTCTATTTCCGAAGGTTAGATAGCAAAGGGTCACTTTATTTTTGAGCTAGGACAACTTGCTGCAACATTAGCGCTCTGTTTAAGCATTTGGAGACATGCTCGACGACTCACGCATCATCAATGGACTATACTTAGACGTAACTAACTCGTACGTTGACAAGTTGATTCGGGAGATTTGAAATTTTCGTATCATTGATTGGTCTAGAAGATCATTAATCTTCTTTTTGTCTTGTAAACCAACCTCAAATATGAATGCTCTTTATACCAAACACTCAATGGTCAAATGTCGAGAAATCTGTAAGAGAATTTCGGATAAAGAGCGAGTTATGGGATTTTAAAGATGTGTGCCCCGATTTTATTGGGAAAACGTCTAAACGATTTAGTAAATTTGCTGCTGACTACGTTGAGAGCTGTCAAAATTATTATTGGGCACTGATTTCGTTGGAAAAACGTCGAGTCCCATTAGACTTATGTTGTGTGTAGACTTATGTCATTAAAAAACCATGTGTGGTGCCGATTTCATTGGGAAAACGTCTAAACGGATTATTAACTTTGGTGCTGACTACGTTAAAAGGTGTCAAAACCGTTACTAATCACTGATTTCGTTGCAAAAACGTGAAATCTAATTAGATTGATATCCGAGAAATGAATTTCATGCATTTGAAATCTTTTTACGAAAAGTTGTCTTAGTGGAATCATTAAAAGACGCCGATTTTATTGGCAATACGTTTAAACGCATTAGTAAAATTTGTGCTGACACCGTTGATATGTCGAAAGTCGCTATTGAGCACTGATTTCGTTGGAAAAACGTGGGATTTCATTAGATTGATGCCCAAGAAATGAATTTCATGCAGTTTCAATGAGCCCCTACTTTTTCACGAAGAGTTTTCGTAATGGAACCATTAAACAACGATGTGTGGTCGCCGATTTTATTGGGAATACGTCCAAACGCATTATTCAATTTGCTGCCGACTACGTTGAGAGGAGTCAGAACCGTTATTGTGCACTGATTTCGTTGGAAAAACGTAGAATCTCTCCAAAGAAGTAAGATAGGGTACAGGGATAAGAAGAACGACTGTGCTAAGACAGACAAGAAGATCAGAAAAGAGAACAGAAAGGACAAGAAAGACATGGAAGAAGTAAGACAAAACGGGCAAGAGGAAAAAGAGGGTAAAGGTCAAGGTTCATTGACCACAGAGACAGACACGAAGGATAAGAGGTATAAAAATGACAAAGAGAAATAATAAGACAACATGAAGTGGAAAAGAAGGGAAGGACCAAATAAGAAAAAAAAAAGATAAAGGGAGCGAGAGACGAGGGGTACGAGGGAGGACAACAAGAGCAGGAATGAAAACGGACAAGACGGACACAGAAGAGAGAAGAAGAAAAAGTGGGACAAACATAACAGGAGAGCAACGTGTATAAAAGGAGCAATAGTGACAAAGTACGGGCAAGAGTGACAGAACGAGGTCAGGAGGGGGATACGAAAATATTAAGAAGAACAAGAGAGACAAAAAGAGCAGGGCGAGAGGGACTAGAATGGTAAAGAAGGAGATCAAAAACAGGATGGTTGGAAGGAACAGAAAAGTGAAATAGGAAAGGAATGAAAAGAAAAATAGAGAATGTAAGAAAAGGCCCAGAAGGACAAGAAGTGAAGAAGAACGGACCAACAAGAATTGCAGTAAAGACAAGAAGGGTCCAGAGGGGACGACGAAGAAGAAGGGTAAAATGAACAACTCGGACAATTGAGATAAGAGGGAAACAACGTATAATAGGGATAGGAAAGACAAGGAGAAATAGAAGGGCAATGCAATATGGACAAGAAAGACGAAGAATAGAAAGGGAAACAAGAATAAGAAAAACGCACAGGCGAAATAGGCAGGCAATAGAAACAGGAGCGCTAACGATACAAAGGAGACAAGAGCAACAACGAGTACAAAAAGGTAAGACGATAATGGTCAAAAAGAACAAGAAGAGCAGAAATGAGAAGATAAAAGGCTCATGTAGGAAAAAGAGGGCAATAGGGCCAATATGAACAAGAGGGTTTAAAAGACGAGGAAGTAAAGGAACAAGAAATAGAAGAGGGACAAAAGGGATAATAGTCACACGGGAGAATAGGTGCAAGAGGGACAAAAAGGACAAGGTTGTCGAGAGAAACAAGAAAGAAAAGCAAAGGTCGAAAAAAAGAGAAAAAACAAGAAGAAAACCAGGGACAAAAATGATATGAAAGACAAGAACCGAGGACAAAGGCAAATACTATTTATAAAAGGAGGTGGAAGGACAGAATAAGAGTTCGGAACGGCAACGTGGAAAATAAGAAAAAAACGGGAGGGAGCACGGAAAAACTAAAGAAAAAGGACAGTAAGAAAGAAGCAAATAGCGACAGTGACGGGCGGGACGGATTAGGGGCCAGAGAAGTAAAAGAATGAAATGAATAAGAGGAACAAAGAGGATAAATATATAAAAGAGAAAAGGTAGATAAAAAACTTCATAAAAGAGCAAAAGGGACAGCAACAAGTACAAGAATACCCTCGAGGAGAATAGCGAAATAAAGACGAAAAACTAGAAAACGGACACATGGGCAGTTAGAGAAAAACTGCAGGAACGGGGAGAACGGTGGGAAAGCCCCCGGGGAACAAACCATAAACCTCCCAGTAAAGGAGGACTTGGTAATTTCTATCATAATATTTAATAAATGGAATAGTCCCCATACCCCCCGGTGATACGTTTACTGCAATTTGTCTTACAAGAGGATTTAGTAATGTTCCCATTAGTAGAGATCTGATGAATAAACGTTTCCTGGGGTTAGCGTAGCACCGGGGGGCCTGGGGGTTATGGAGTACCCCCAGCAAAGAAAAATTCAATGACCTTCTTTGAAAAAGTCACAAACATTCCGGCAAAGGATAACTTGATAATTTCCGCCATAATATTAAAAATATACCTCCCCCCCCCCCCGGCGGTTGCACGTTTACCTAATTTATTCTTACAAGAGGAGCTAGTAATTTTTCTAAAAAGTACTAGAAGAAATGTGATAGCTATTTTTTTGCGGTGGTTAGCGTAGCACCGGGTGGACTGTGGGGGTGTAGGAATACCCCACTAAGATAGAAAGATACCATGGCAGGCTCCGGAAAAACCACAAACCTCCCAGCAAATGCGGAATTAATAATTTCCGTCAACATCTTTAATATATACTGGGGGGTTGTCCATATCCCTCACACCCCCCGATGATACGTTACCAGCAACTCTTCTTTAAAAAAAGTGTTGTGATAGATCCTAAAAATTTTTTGGGAGGGAATATAGTACCGTGAGGCTGGGAGGTAACATAAAGGGACTTTTAAAGAATTCAATAAAATTTTAGTATCGTTGAATGAGGATTCTAATACAACGTTCAATCCCATCGTAAAAATAAGATTTTTTTAGGAGGACTCTGAAAGAATGTAATTTCAAGAATATTTCAAAATTGTGTAGCTCAGTGGTAGAGTGTTGGAGTACATAGCCGGAGGTCGGGTGTTCGAAACTGGGCTGAGGTAAAAATTTTTCATCTATGTCCTTAGATCAGTTTCGAGTATTCTGTTACTCCTGATTAGGCTTACCTACAGTTTTCCTAATTCGTAAGGTAAATACCGGAGTAGAATAGAACAACTTCAGACCTTCTGCAGGAACACCTCTAAAAAGCATTATGTGGATCACTCTGTATAATAAGGTAACCAGTAATTATTTAGCAGAATAGAAGGGTCTCAAGAGAGAAGATCTGGCTGAGCTTTATCCGAAATATTATACCTGATTATGCGTAGTGTGAAAATGGGTTTTCTACAGGGGAGTGTCGAACGGGCCGGAGTAGTATAGAACAACTTAATACCTTCTGCAGGAACACCTCTAAAAAGCATTATCCGGGTCACTCTGTATAATAAGGTAACCAGTAATTATTTAGCAGAATAGAAGGGTCTCGGGAGAGAAGATCTGGCTGAGCTTTATCCGAAATATTATACCTGATTATGCGTAAAGTGTGAAAATCAGTTTTCTACTGGGGTGTCGAACGAGCCGGAGTAGTATAGAACAACTTAAGACCTTCTACAGGAACACCTTTAAAAAGCATTATGCGGGCCACTCTGTATAATAAGGTGGCCAGTAATTATTTAGCAGAACAGAAGGGTCTAGGGAAAGGAATCTGGCTGAGCTTTATCCGAAATATTATACTTGATTATGCGTAATGTGCGAAAATGAGTCTTCTACAGGGGAGTCTCGAACGAGCGGCGGGAAAACGATTTGAACATACGAACAAATTCCAGAACAGTCGATGCTATAATAATGTGGCCAGTAATTACTTAGCAGAATAGAAGGGTCTCGGGAGAGAAGTTCTGGCTGAGCTTTATCCGAAATATTAATTAATTGATTAATGATTAGGCGTATGTGTAAAAATGAATCTTCTACAGGGTAGTCGCGAAAGACCGTGACTAGTATTTATTTAGCAGAATAGAAGGATCTCGGGAGAGAATTTCTGGCTGAGCTTTATCCGAAATATTATACTTGATTAATGATTATGAATATGTGTGAGTCTTCTACAGAGGAGTGTCGAATGAGCGGAGGGAAAACGATTTGAACATTCGAACAAATTCCAGAACAGTCGATGCTTTTGGAGACAATGCGCTAAAAACCGTTTATCAAGACAGGTATTCCGATTGCGGGGACTTTTGCGATAAACGAAATCTTGAGGATTCTTAATCTTGGGAATATTCTCTGATGATTCCAGAAGTTGTACAGATCCTGTAGAATTTTCGAAAAATTCTAAAGATTTTGATATCTGAAAATTCTGGACTACAAAAAACATCCGAAATTCTGAGTTCTTAAATGTGTGGAAGTTCTGTAGATTGATAGAGTTCATTAGATTTTCAGTCTTGAAAATTCCGAAGACTGCTGGCGCTGAAGGTACCGAAGA